GTATTAAATACAAAAGGAAAGTAAGCTACATGTGTCATAGCTATAGCTGAAAGCCAATTCTCGTAATAAAAGTTTGGTCTCAATTCAGTTCCGATCAACTTTTGATCTCACAACTAACAGAAAAGGTGTTTTCGTAGTGAAATAGTAAAGTATTACAATGTCTAGCAGATTAACGATTTCATTTTCGGTTACAATACGATATAATCACATTACAGTCAACATTGGATGTTTAATACTATATAAATACTTCAAAAATATCTGTTATGACAGTTGGGAGATCGAAAGTTGATCGGAACTGCATTGAAACCGAACATTTATTACGAGAATTGACCTTCAGGACTATAAAGTTATTTTGGTGTTCAAATTCCTCTTGTAATGAAACACCGATCTTTATACTTATATACTTCAGTCTAGTATCGTCCACTGCTGAACGAAGGCAAAACAAAACCACTAATAAAAATTGACTCTTTTATAGTTAGCAATAGTTGGCCCTCGCAATTTGTCTGCATCTCTCAAAAGGAATAAATTTTCATCAATTTTGCAACATATTTCATTGATGCTTCGCTCCTATTGATCGTGGCGTGATGTTATATAGCTTATAGCCTTTCTCAATAAATGGGCTATCCAAAACTAAATATTTTTTCGATTCGAACCAGTTGTTCCTGAGATTAGGCCGTTCAACCAACCAAACAAACTCTTCAGCTTTATTATATTAGTATAGATTTACTTTCCCTTTCTAACAAAGTTTCTTATAAATTTTGTAATTAAACATACTTAGAAGGTCATTTTTTTATCTACGCACTTTTACACATCAGACTTAATGCCGAGGGCATTCTCTTCCAGTCGACCTTAAGGTAGAGTAGAAATCATGAGTGGAAGGCGCACGTAAATTACATTACTAATCAACTAAAATATACACTACACAACACTACATGCATAAAGTTTACATACATGTACGTTAAATTTTGGCCTCGGTGTATATATATACCTATAAAAAACTAAATATAAATCTAATGAAATAATGTCCAAGAAACATAAACAATTTTAAGAACCTTTCCCTGAATGATAGTTTTTGAAGACTTACAGATCGCATTATCCAAATTGAGAAAAGGACACGAAATGATGATCGTGATAATACATACTATATTATAGCATATGTTAATAATTTATATAAATATCTTGTATATATTTAAAGAATATTTTTTGTAACAAAAGATAATTGGGTCTTATACCTCACTAATTCAAATAAACGTCTACCACACACAACTCGATAATACCCAAAGGTTTAATTTAAAAAAATTACAACCTTCTTGTGAACACAATCAGTTTAAATCTACGTAGCTACAGGTTTGGTAAATTACAGGTCTTGAGTACAAGCAATTAAAAATAAGTACAATTTTAGTAATTCAAACAGAAATAACTGATCTATTATCGTTTTATAATCGAAGGGACAATTAAGTAAATTCTTATACGTATCTGGTCTATTTACAAAGACGATACTGAAATAGTGTTCTATTTTAAGTACCTTTGAAAGTTATACCTATATAATTTGGTGTATTTTTAGTCCCTCAATTTTTTTTTTCAAATGAAAGTTTGTTTTTTATGTATGTAGATTCATTAAATTACAGATGGCATGGTTTTAAATGGTCCATGCCTTAAAACTAAGCATGCAATAAATTATAAAATTAGGGTTGATAAAAATACAAAATTAAATGTGGAATGAATAAGTACAAAAAAAAACTATTTTAGATGTCAATGATCCACAAACTAATTTATTAATGTTTTATATGTAAATGCTTCAGAATTATTAAATTACAAGTGATAAGAATTATAAATTGTAATTACAATTTGTATTTATAAAAAAGTTCATATGCAAGACTTTAAATTTATTTTTAAAATTTCCCATTACATCATTTTTTAAGTCATCAGGCAATTTGTTGTATATAATGGTACCCATGCAGATAACACTTTTTATTAATAACGCCGTGTTATAGGAACAAAACAAAACAGCAAGGAAGGTTTCTGTATTGGTTTCTTACAGGTCCTTTTCTAGTTTTTGCCACAGGAGTGAAAAGGTGTTTCTTGGCTTTCACAATTATAGCTATTTCTTAAATATATAAGAATGGAAGGTTCTAAAGGACTTAAACATTGGTTTACAGCTTTCTGTAGTCTTTAAATTACACATCGCTCTTATACAGCGTTTTTGTGCTTTGAATAGCTGCTCTCTTGAACTACAATTGCCCCAGAATATAATCCCAAATCTTAGAACTGATGCAACCAGACCGTGGTAGACTAGTACAGTAGTTTGAATGTCAACTTTTTTGGACAAGTTCGAAAGGACATATGCTGATATATTTAGTCTCTTACAGACGTCCTCTGCTTGGGGTTGCCAATTTAATTGACTGTCGATATACATATATGCCTAAAAATTTAGCAATATTTATATGGTGGATGTTTTGATTATTGTAATTCACAGTAACATTTTTTAGAGATGTGCGTTGGTGGAAGTGGATTAAGTTTGTTTTTTGTAAGTTAATTATATAATTATTTCTGTCAAGCAAATTATGTCTTTAAGAGTATCATTAATATCCCTTTCATACCCATCAAAATTTTTACATTTTACTATTGCAGTGCTATCATCTGCAACTAGGACCATGGTAAATCGTTGATGTAAATCAGAAAGACAAGCGGTCCAAGAACACTGCCCTGGGGTACACCATATTGTATAATTCTGCTTTCTGATAAGTGTCTTAGTTTATTATTTACAAAATGTTATGTTTGGATAAAAAACTTATCAATTGATTCATAAATAACTTTTTCTACTACTTTAGAAAATACAGGTATTAAGGCTGGTCTGTAATTAGCTATATCCTCCTTATCTTTCTGTGGAGCGGTTTAACTATTACTGTCTGTAGACTATTGGGCAATACTATACTACAATGGGCTAAAATGTACTTCTATATTATTTGCTACAAATTTTACAACTTTTGTAGCTATACCATCATACCCAACACAACTTTTATGTTTTGAAGACTTTATTGCTCTAATAATATCTTGAAGTAATACTGGAGCCATAAACATTGAGGTTGAGATTTTTATTAAGTTACTGCTTTCATGTGATAGTGCAGGTGAAATCGGAGTCTGGTCAATAAAGTAGTTATTGAAAATGTTAGCAACTTCTTGAGGATCTGTAATAACTGTATCATGTAATCTAATTTGGCAGGGCCCATAACTATGTGTTTTATTGTTTATGACTTGCCAAGATGCTTTCGACTTATTGTTTGAGGTTCTAATAAAGTGGTTTAAAAATCTTTTAGAGTAATCTTTAAATTTATTTTTATTTTCACTACTTTTCTTAAGTCTGTACTGCCGTAAAGGGTAAGGTTGCTTTTTACTGCATGCACATATTCCCCGTGAGACCCTTTTAACATTTTTGTTTGTTTTGATGTTGACAGATTTGTAAGGAAAACAGAGATTATACAACTGAAAGTGTTCTAAAAAATATCATATGCTTTGTTTGTATTTACCGTATTCTATATTTTTGAGAACGTCAGACAACTTAAATAACTATTGAATTTAATTATGTTTTCAAATGACGAATCACGTATTCTTATACGCCAAGAGTTTAATATATAAGTTTAATTGACTTTTATTCGCAGTATTTGCGCCGTATGATCAGACAGAGATTGACATTTTTAACGAGAGTTGTGTGCAAAGTAATCTATAAATCTGTTACTTCATAGCCTAGTTGACTGCCTTAATTCCACCTTGAGATTATAGCCCAACAGAAAATATTAGAAATCTAGTAATATTTTGCTCCTTGTTAAGGACCATATTGAACTATATTGAAGTCCCCACATAAAACAATTTTTTTACTTGGATTTTTACAACATGTTTTCATAACAGTTTCTAAAGTGTCATAAAATATTTGCAGATTACTTGAATACGGTGGCCGGTATAAACATATTATGAATAATTGTATGGTAATTAATTCAATAGCACAACATTCCAGGAGACCCGTGATTGAATATCGTGTAATGTCTGCTAGCTCCTTATACTGGACATTGATTTTGAATAGAATGCAGGCTCCTCCTCTCTTATTTGTCTTCCTTGCGTAACATGCTGCGAGCTTATAGTGTGGTATCTTAAACAGTTTTTCTTGACCAAGCAAAATAAAATGTTCAATAATGCACACAACCTCTGTATCTGCTTGTTTATAAGATAGTTCCTAAAGATGAACAGTCAGCATGTCTGATTTGTTTAAAAGTCCTGCAATATTTTGGTGTAATATTTGCACTTTATTATAGAAGAAAAAACTCATGGCTTCTTCTCTTATTAGTATCTTTAGTTATAACCGTATGCGAAGTATCATGTGATGCGTCTTCATAATAATTATCACGTAACAATGACTGCAAGTTTTGGAATATGTTCCTGGTACCATTGTCATTTTGCCTGCTAGTGTGCTTTGAGAACATTGAGTAAGTTGTTAATTTCGCTGTGCGCTGCCTCTAATTCAAGTTACAGCTTCTCTATTTCACTTTTTATTTTGTAATTTATTATATTTATCATAATTTTGTATTTGTTCGTCGTTGTCATATTCGAAAGTATCCAGTAGATTAGTAACGGTGCCATCTAGTGTTGAGCTGTTGCAATTACTATTGCATTCGTTCATAGAATTATCTGTCAATGATTGGGTTCTAGGTGGTGTCCTCCTTCGAAACGTATATTTTCGAAGAACGCCATCTTTAGATTTTGAATGAATATGTGTGTGAATTAAATTAAAGTTTTTCTGTGTCCCACCTTTTGACTGTGTTCATTTATTTAGTCTTTGTAAACATTGACAGACCACAAAAAGCGTTGTGCTCACTTAATTAAATAATATTATATCGTATTATAAATAATTATTAATTGCGATGATTCCTGAACTGATTAAATACACATTATAGTACATAATTTTGCCTAATCATTTGCAGCATCATAGAAATATAAAAAGTACTTACAAATTACTTGAAGATTGACAGGTGGTGATTTGCCATCACCTTCGACGTTAGATGCAGTACATGCATACTTTCCCGCTTGGCTTCTATTAACGCCTTGCAGGGCTAAATGAGCCGAGCCTGCTATCACTCCTGCTCGCTGATTATGTGTCATCACTTGACCCTGAAATTAATCTTTTTTTACTATAAATGAACTTTTTATTTCTATGAAAGCAATATTTTTTCTGGTTTCTTCTCCTTTGGGCTTCTAATTTACTTCTAAATGTATTCATTTACATGACTTATGTTATAAAAGTTTCAGAGGAAATACTCAAAATGTATTTGGTTTACATAATAATATTTATTTTAAACAAAACATTGGCGGTTTTTCTAATAAAATAGAAGTATGTGTGTAATTTGTTGTTCTATATAATTAAAGAAAGTAAAACTTTTATTATTGACAAAACAGAAATGGTTGTAGATGCATACATGCATTTTGGACGCATTAGGAATAAAGCCTGTATCGCGGGGGACTTTACAAACATACATGAAACGGACACAAAGAACACCCAGACTCAGAACAACAATTTGTGGATCACACAAAGTGTCGTCCCATGTGGGGTTTGAACCCACAACACTCGGCGTAGTAGGAAGCGGCGTGGTGACCGCTTAAACCATTACGCCATCCATGCAGTTTAATAGTCCACTGCTAGGCCTCTCCTTAGAAAGACTACACGCATACATTGGATGCATACCTTTTGTGTAGGTAGGTATATTGGATGTCAATAAAGGGTCATCCCATTCATTAAAAAACAAAGCATTTTCGTTTATTACATTTTTATTTATTTTTGTATATTTATTGCGACGTTAAAGTGCATATATGTCCTATCTACCATTGGGTTAATTTTACAGGACTGAATATTTTTGCTCTATTGAAGAAAAGCAATAGTTTCCAGATTTGAAAGTTTTTCTCAACACATGAGTTAGCAATGATTTGATTGTTAGAATTTTTATCTACTGATGGTAACTAAATATACCTTATTTTACAGATTTTGTATGGAAATAGAACAAAAATGCATAAACGAAATTACGAATGTGGAGTTAGGCTACTACCTCATTAAAGAGCGTTCCATTTGTCCGTGCATATTTGTTTTAAGTGCCAAATGTAACACATTGTTCGTTTAATCTTCACACTGACTGACAGAATATAAATATATTCCTAATACCTTGTTGCCTTTTTTTTGTTTTACCTCTTTTTTTACTTTTTTTTATTCATTGCCAAGCATAAAGAAACCTTAAACTAAAACACCCGATGCACAAATCCTTTTTTTTTTCCGTGCGGAAATCCCCTCGGATTCCACCTATCGGACGGACGCCGTCTCGGGTACTAATAGCCGTTGAACCAGGTATACCCTAGAGAGGAAGTCCCTGGTGCAAGATGCACAAACCCTAACCGTAAGAGGCTGCTTAAAAATACCGCCTTATGGGATTAAAAAAAAAGAATTCTCGCCATTGATTGATTTATTTATATAATATAAAAATCAGTTGCTGTCATACGTACAACGAAAATTATTTAAAACTATAACGTTATTGTCAGAACACGGTTTGTATGGAAGACAATTTAAAATTTCGTTTTTTTTTTAAATTTTACCCTCATTCACAATCACAATTTAATAATTTTATCAATATTTTCAACGTCTTTTGTGATATCGCCAGCTACGATATCAAATATATGTAATTGGTCGACTGAGTGGACATAGAAGCACTCAAGCACTCAATACCTCTTACGACGTAGATAGAACAAAAACCTGGTCATAGAAAAAACAGTATCGCGTCACAAATCAAATTCAATTTTTTTTATTGTTTTATAAGCAAAAAGTTTAAAGCTTCTTTACCTAACGGTGGAGTTAAGTCTTAGCAATACTGCATTGAAAGTAAGTTTTCTTTATAACAAAAAAGCATTAGGGCGACGATTTTTGACAAGAAAAGTCTCCTCAGACTAGGAGAAGTATTTACCCTGATTATGCAGTTGTAATGCCTCCCGTCTAATCATAATCATACCCTTCTTTTTATAAAAATAAATAAATAACACGTATATAAAAAATTGCAAAGCATACATAAAGCAGCTTATTCGTATAATTTTGTAAATGAATACGAAATCAACGTACAAAAATATATGAATAAAAAAAAGATATAACAAAAAGATGACAGGGGAAATTAGTTTTCACCATTTTCATCCATCAAAACAATAAAAAGAAGTCAAGAACCGAATTCAATATCGAGTGTAGTCCTCCGATATTGCATTCCGACAATCTAGTTACAGGTGACACGATTTGATTGATCAAATCAAAGCTTGCGATAAAATAAATTCGGCCATCGGGGTCGGCAACACTAACCGAGAAATAAATGAGAAATACATTTTCTTGGGTAATGGAATCAATAAGTCTATAATACTATATAATAATGGCTGTCGTAGGACGTCCACTTCTGGACATTGGCCTCCTTCAATAACTTTGGAAGTCAAAGCCCATTTAGAAGCGACCTACATCCACCATCGACCGGCATTTATACGTAGCCTACTGGAAACGTATTCTTTCTTGCAGCCTATTGGAACTTAAAAATGTAAATAAAAAGGTAAACTTAATGTGGAACTAGTAAAGTTAAAAAAAGGGACTAAATGAATACACGATTTAAAATAGTATCAATTTGACACAGAAAGTAGGAGAATAAAATCATTTTATCTCCTTATGATACTTACGTTATGTTCCCAAACAACTTTGTAAGCTGGTGGATTTGATCTCACGATACACTCAAAGTAGACATCGTCACCTTCCTCGATATCGTTAGGATTAAGCTTTGAACCTAATTGTAAACTTACTATTGGAACATCTGGAAAAACAAATGTTATCAGTTACAGGGTAGATGTTTTTAAATTTATATTCACTTATATTATACCTTTTGTACTCGTAAAATACCATTAAATAGCTTAATTACCATTCTGGTAATGAAAATACACATTTCTTAATGACCAAATAAATTATCATAATTAATAAAGTAATTTAGAAACTTACAATGAAGATTGAGCGTAACACTACTTTCTAGAGTATTGTGTTCGAGTTTGCTGTGCGCTGCTTGACACGTTAAAACCCGACCGTCTTGATCCATACGGGGAGTCCATCGTAGAAATGATATGGTTTCATTTTTATCGTCCGAATTCTGGATAAGAAATGCATTTTTTTAAACGAAATCATGAAAGTCTAATATTTAATTAAATTAATATTGTAGTATTAATTATACAATAATAATTGCTTGCAAATAGATTAATAACATTATTAATACATAATTGTTCGTGTATTTACACAAAGTAGAGTGTCAACTAAACTATGCTAATTCTAGTACACATTCTTAAATCAATGTGAAAATTTTAAAAAAATATATAATACAACTTAATATAAGATTAAGTTGTAAAATGATTTGTAAAGGATACGACTAAGTAACAGTCAGATTAAACGTGCCTTAAATAACAGTCAAAAATGAGTTAAGGCTATATTTCATTATTTTTTTAAATTTGACCTGTAAGAGCTGCTTGAATAATAATCATTAAAAAGGCATTATAGTATGATCATTAGTGTTTTTTTCTAAACAAAACCCAATGTTACAGATCGTCAGGACCACATAAAAAAATAATTTTTCAAAAACCGTATACTAAGTTAGAGATAGTTTATTAAGATAAGATATTTTTAAGATCACCTTTTGAATAGCAGCAGTAGACATTTGTTGATCATCGAGCCACCACGAAATGGTAGCCGGTGGTCTTGAGCCCACTGCCTTACAAGCCAATTCAGCTGTCTGACCCACGGAGAGTGGTTGTTCTCTGGCAAGTATCTCTACGAAAAGTGGTCGCACTGTAACAACGCAATTGAATTAATCGATTTCTGAGTTACATTTTATCCATAAATTTTATAGTCGTTCTCTAAAATATGTTTTGTGTTTGATTTTTCATGTTCTGCAGGTTCACACAAACAACTATATTCAATAAACTCGAAATATTTTCGTAAAACTTTCAATATATTTGTGTGGTATCTAAAAATCTACATAAAAAACCGCAGGTCTGTGGAGTTAAACTAAATTATGAAGTATATTTACGAACCAGAAAATGGTTTCCCAGCTGTCACATAACATAATTTGGCGGTCCAAATAGTGCCATAATGATGATGAGGGTAACCCGTTTGTCATTCTTAAATATTTGAATGGTTATACACGTACTAGTGAATAAGCATAGAATCTTTTATTTAACTGAATAGGCTTGCGAGATTAAATATTTATGACGTATTATTAAATGACGTCATTCTAGAATTAAAAGCCACAAGCGGGAAAAAAGACAATTAAGCTGAGCTTTTATTTAACTCAATACTCAATCATTAATTGCGATCCATAATATATATAAATGATAATAAAAATATTAAAAAAAAACAGAACCATTTTGAACCCTGTCGAGCTGAGTTTAGGTGAGAGGTTAGGTGAGAGGAAGACGGCTAAGCAGTACCAACTTTATATACTCTATTTGTACACACAATCGTCGGACTCTATATCGCAGTGGTACACACTGGGAGTCACGTATTCAATTACCGCTTCGTGCAAATTATATTGGTTATTATGTAAAATGTTAATGTATTTGAAAGATATGCCCTAAAATGACATTTTAGAAGAGAAAATTTCTTAAGGCGCGTTGGGCATTATTGAACAAACAAAAGAATGTATTTTTTGAGATGGGAAAAAACCATTGAACTCGCAACACTGCTACTGTTAGTAAAGAAGTTTGTACATACATATATTGGCCCCGTTTACACGAGAGTCAAGTTTGGGTCGAAATACATTGATAATTTAACTTTTCGAATCGAATAAATAAAATTAAAAAAAAACCTGTTGTAATAAAAAATACAAGTTTTCACTTTTGTCGGCACTCCCGGCGTGCCACTGATTTTTTTTAACCTAGTTTATAAATATATATTTATATATATATTATAGGTATATTTGTAGACAATACAGATTTATTCAGTAAACATATATTTTTATTATGTTGTTATCTTATCCATATTTGAATATTTTGAACACAAAGGATTGGAGGATGGAGTTCCATCAATTCACAAAATTGATTTACAGTTTACTTACGATCTACGTTTTCCTTTTGATAACAGCGTGGGAGTAGTCCTAAGGTAATATGGCTATTAATTCTGAATCAAGATGTATTACAAAAAGTTATATAGAGTACTTAATTCATAATTCACATGTAAGAACAGAAAAGAAAAAAGTTCTTTACTTATGTTTGATTTTTATTAATTTATAAATAAATACATTCACATCCGGGGTAGGCAGAGACTATAGAACGCTTTAATTGGATGTGCACTAAATCAGTTCAATTAAACAAGAAAATTATAATCTAGAATACTTCAAATACATATATATTGTCTATCTTTATTTTATTGGCACAATGTGGTTGCGAAAAATAAATAAAAACTATCTTCAAAGCGTGTTGTATATCGTGTCAAAATTTGAGCTTAGTCTGTTCAGAACTTTTTGAGTTTTTGAAGCGTACACAAAGCAACTTAATATTTTATACTCGTAAATATAGATATAGACATGGAAATGCTATTTTGCTATTAAATTCTGTGAGGTATTCAAGAAACCAACTTTTATCGTAAATGGTCACAATGTATAGAAATGCAAGGACGAGAACAACACTTTTTTTTTTCAAATATGCATGTCACAATGTATTAAAATCTAGTAAATATAACTAATACAGAATGTAATCAATTAAACTAACTAACTAACTAACGAAATTACTTTAACTAAACTTTTAATTACTTCGTTTTAGAGGTTTTATTGATTTATAATTTACACTAGCTGTTACCGGCCATTTTGTACTCTTACATTAAATAGTAATGTAAAACCCGTAATTTTTCAAAAGAAATTTTGAAACCTCATAATCCGAACCCTGTCGCAAAATTAATAATAATAATAATAATAATAATATATTTATTGTTCTCTCTCACACAGATATGGTTACAATAAACAATCTTAATCTAGGTTATTTTGAGTGAGTCTGTGTGAGAGACTGGTATCTGTACTAGGTTCGTAGACCTGTATGACAAATTACCAGCCTCCCCTAGCTCTGGACGGTTGTGGTGCGTTAAGCAGGTACAACCTGTTTAGGAGTGAGTAGTATTTATTATGTGAAGTGAATGAGAACGCATAGTATGTGAATGTGAGTATATGTGGGTGTGTGTGTAGCGTGTGTGTAGGGGAGTGGGTGTGTAGTGTGGTTTGAGTATTTGTGTGGATCCTAAACTCTAGGGGGACAGCGCATTTCAAGACGGGACCTGTAACAGGCTCTCTGTTTCTATATAGCTTCTATATAGCTAAGGGACTTTAGCCAGCGAGTGGCAGCGGTTTTGCAACCGTATTTTGTACATGAATATATATGCAATATCTGGTTAACTTTATTGTATATGTATCTACCTAGGCAACCAAAGAATTTGCGAGCAAAGGATGTAAACCATCTATTGCCCTTATCATTTGCGGGACAGACTTTGTGCATCAGGCGTTTATTTGGGGGTGAGGGATTGTAAGGAAGTAATGCGTGCTGTTTAAGTATAATGCTCAAGAGATATAGTTGACGCACAGTTAGGACATCCGAGATTTTGTAAAGGTGTCTCGTAGGGTACAAGAAAGGCACGGAAAGGCTCACCTTCAGAACTGCTCTTTGGGCTCTTTCCACCTTCATCAATGAAGTTTTGGAGGCACCCCCCCACACTGATATGCAGTAAGATAATATAGGTTGGCATAAGGACATGTAAACCATTCTAATTGTGGTTTTATCTGCAATTTGACGCAAGGTTTTAAATAAATATATTAATTTACGAGTTCTAGAAGATACGAGGTCTAAATGATAATTAAAGCTCAAAGAGCTATCTATTATTACACCGAGATATTTTACGTGGGTTGTACGTTCTAGGTGATTACATGAACAAGAAAGGTCGTTTAGGCATGTGTGAGCTATTATATAGTTTTGTGTAAGTGTGTTTGGTGGTATGTTTTTTATTGCGAATGGTATATACTTGCTTTTATCAACGTTGAGAGTCAGACCATTGATCCTAAGCCATGTTGACACTGCGTTGAACCCCACTTGTGCAGAGTCAAAAGTATCTTGCCAGGTATCACCATGAAAAATCAGTGCGGTGTCGTCAGCGAAGGTTACAATTTTGCCTTTTCTCAGTTGGAGATTGCACAGGTCATTGATGTACGTTAGAAAAAGCGTAGGGCCGAGCACGCTACCCTGTGGAACCCCAAAGTTAAGGGGCAGATCCCCGCTAGTGACACCACCAACTCTTACTCTTTGGTATCTTCCGGTAAGATAATCACTAAATAACTTGTATTGTGCATCGCGTATACCAAGTTTTTCCAGTTTGTCCAGTAAGAGTGGGACAGAGACCGTGTCAAACGCTTTAGCTAAGTCGAGAAATATAGCTATTACTTTTTTCTTATAATCTAGTTTTCTTACAATATGATCAGTTAATTCATGAACAGCCTCATTAGTTGAAGTGCCAGCTCTAAAACCAAATTGGGAGGCAGATAAGAGTTTTTTCGTCTCTAGGTAACTAATTAGCCGTTGATTCAAGAGTTTTTCTGCCACTTTTGAGATGACATGAAGAATGGAAATAGGTCTGTAGTTATTGACACAGGCTCTGTCGCCACTCTTATAGACAGGAATCACTTCTGCTAGTTTGAAGTCCTCCGGAAAAACACCAGTGTTTATCATAAGGTTAAAAATGTAAGTTAGAGGAGGAACTAAGATCTGATGGTATCGCTTTAGGAACCCGCCGGAGATATTGTCCCTACCGGTTGTATTTACCTTCTTTAGACTCAAAATGAGGCAGCGCACCTCGTCTTCAGAGGTTGGAGATAGGGCGAACGAAAAAGGATGGGAGTACATACTCGATAACTTTGGTAAGTTGGTTGCTTGGATTTTATCTGCTAGGTCTTTACCAATAGATGCAAAGAAGTTATTCACCGTATTAGCTGAGGATAATGGATCTATGGATGATAATAGATCCAATGCTGGGTTCGGATTTTTGTTATAGTTTGTGACCTTTCTTATTGTTTCCCATAAAGTTTTGTTGCTGGTCTTTGCTGCATCATTCAGTAGATTTCTCTCGTGATCACATTTTAATTTTTTTAACAGGTTATTGCAAAAGTTTCTGTATCTTAGGTAAGTAGCTTTGAGTATTACATTATTAGGACTTTTCTTAGTTTTTAAATGTAGTTTATCCCGGTTTTTCATGCACTTCAATAATCCAGTAGTTATCCAGGGCTTTTTGATTCGTTTGCGGTTGGAAACAGTAATTTTATGCGTATTACATTCAATGGTGGAGTTTAAAATATTTAGAAGTAAGGAAGTAGCTACGTTAGCGTCAGTTAAGTTATAAATGGGGTTTAGGCAAACGTTGTTCATGCTAATATCTAGTTTATCATAGTCAATTTTTTTAATCGTAGATGCTTTTTTCTGTTGTATATGATACTTTAATGTAATAATAACGCAATCGTGGTCAGTCACAGATGTTTCGGCAACGTAGCAAAAAGCCGGAATAGTACTTTTTAGCATTATGTGATCCAAACACGTTTTACAATGTGTAGGTAAATGATGGGCAGGCAAGATACTATGTGAGGCAAGAAGTTCGAGGTAAATAGGTGAGTTTTGATCTTTATTATTTGGCAGTATGTCTATATTAATGTCTCCTACTATAATAATATTACGGGATTTTAGATTGGTGAGTAGTTTATTTAATGACTCGATAAAAGGATGAATATTTTTGTATCCCGGTGGTCGGTATATTGCAATTAAAGTGGTATTGCTGTCTATTTTTATTGTTATACAGTTAGCATCCAGCAAGGTGTTTTCCAATAGAGAAACCCGCATTGTGTTTTTAAAGTATACAATTACGCCTTCATTTTGGGTTAGATTATTTTCAGATTTAAAGTAATTATAGCCGTCAATATGGGGTATACTGTGAGCGTGTCGCAGCCAGCACTCAGTAACCACTATTAAATCCCAATCAGTGTTCGACCTTTCGAGGAGTGTTAAAAATTCGTTCTTAGCTGACGTATGCCACCTTAAAACAACTTCCGATTTTCGTGTCTCTAGTACAAAAAACCAAGGACACACCAATCAAACTCTCGAAGACCTTAATTCTGCCCTGATGGTGTGGTCTGCCATTCTTAGTTGATGGCATCTACTCCTCTATGACCTCTCTACCAACTCTAACTCTCACAGATTTTGTTTAGCCAACAGGGGAATAAATTTATTACTTTATTTTTGTTCTTTCGTTTTGTTTGGATTAAAAAGTATTGTCAATGTAAATAAATATAATAATAAACTAGTACTGTTTACAAACTAAGAGATATTTGTACACAAATTGGGTCTTTAAATGTACATATAAATTAAACTGAAGCAATCCGAACAATAGGAAAGTAAAATGTTAATGTTCTCCACTAATGGTACGGATAGTTGAAAAAGTGTTAAAAACAAAAATAAGAGAGTTCACTAAAAGCTTTGTAGGAAAAAGGTGAGCTTAACGTGCATTACTGAACGAATGACATCATGGGTTATTATAATGGAGAATAATTTCCTGTTCGCCGACGTGGCAATGGCGTCACGACAGGACAATGGGACACAAATAAAAACTAATGGCCCCTAAGGGTGGCGCAGTGACAAAAGAATCCTGTCTGCCAGCTAACCGTCATATTCTGAGATAATCCGACAGACCAGCGTTTGATATAGGTTAATCGCGTGGATTTACGTGGATTGAGTTTTGCAATAACAGAAAATGAACGTTTGTCGTCGTGTAATGCGGACGTTATGAAAGTTTCCAACTACTCTGCGGTATTCCATGTTGTTTTTCGTGACCTTTTTTACTCGAGGCAGATTTGGCAACAATCGGGAAAATAATGCGATGTCGTCGACGTTATCGTTAGCTCGGAGCAATGTTGACATTCCATTAAGAATTTAGTTTTTCAAATGACGTTTAATATAAGATTGTATTAAAGAATCTGAAGTAATGTTTTAGGAGGTCAAGACAATAAGGATAAAGATAAAAAAAAACGAAAATAGATAAAATAGGAATCTAGAAGAATCCACAGACCCTACAGGAGAAAAAGAAGAACAAAGACGGAAGCAGAACAATAATTTGTGAAGATATGTATTAGTATGCACGTTTTATAATTTTTTGTTGAATGAAAATTAAGTTAAAGCTACGTTATAAAGGACCACGTCAGCTAACTGAAGAGGCAACCCGTTTGCTAATTTGCCCTCATACACCTTTAAACCTATAAACTCCAAAAACTATTTACATATACCGAACAATATCATACAAACTTATAATTGAGACTAACAAATTTATCTAATTCATCTACCCACTATCTTAGCAGCTCATCTCGTATATCAAAACTAGCACGTATAATATAACGTAGTATGCTGTCAACGTTCGTAACGTCCAAACGCGTTTAGTTAGACAAATGACTGAATATTAGGTAGCGGACAGCATAAACACTGTCCCTTGTGTATGGAGCTAAATTAAGGAGTATTATATTAAAGCTCAGTGTACACGAACCGTCAAATATTCACGGTTCTATTATTAGTTCATTCACGTTAGAGCTGTGTAACATAAACATATAAAGTAATCATTGTGTTTATAATGATAAAATTGACTAGTAAAATAAACTCATTGAAATAGTGCAACCCACTAGTTTCATGTATGGGACTAGTGGGTTGCAAAAGTTCCACGTGGCACTAACCATTTAGGGGTCTACAGTGGCAAATAGATATGGCGATAAGCACTATTTCAATACTACTATTTCAACAGTACTATTTCACTACTACTACTAGTACTATTTCAATAAGTTTAATTTTTATTTAATTTGACGCCATCATTTTGTTGCATGAATAATAACGTAAAATTTAATGTATATTTTTAACCGACTTCAAAAAAAGGAGGAGGTTCTCAATTCGACTGTATTTTTTTTTTTTTTTTTTTTTGTATATTTGTTACGCGATTACTCCGGCAATTATAAACCGATTTGAATAATTCTTTTTTTATTTGGTAGGTCATACGTCAGAGGTGGTCCCATTGTCACCAGGTCAGGATCTGATGATGGGATCCTGGGGAAATCGAGGGATACCCTCAAATTTTGTAGGCATATACACTGTTTATCAGAAATTATCTTAATCTATGTAGATTTTTGCATCTAATGGTCACCATCTGATGTTGCTGAGCTGATGATGAAGCTGATGATGAATGGTTTAGGAGCATGGGAACTCTGTAATAAAATAAAGCAATTCCGCCGTGTTTGTGCTCATTTGATTCGTCTCGACTAGGAGCTTCATGCTAGTCGATTTTTAACCAACATCAAAAAAGGAGGGTTTTTGATTCGACAGTATGTTTTCTTTTTAACCGACTTCCAAAACACAAAAGAGGAGGTTCTCAATTCGTCTGTATTTTTTTTTTATGTATGTTTGTTACGCGATTTCTTCGTCAATTGTGGACCGATTTTCAAAATTCTTTTTGTAATCGAAAGGGTATATCCCGAATTGGTCCCATTACCACCAATTCAGGATCTGATAATGGGATCCTAGAGAAATCGAGTGAAACCCTCACAATTATTGGGAATTTGACAGCCCCGACAACGTGTTTTAGCTACGAGTATTTCTTTAGCCAAACAAACCATTGCAACTGTCAGAGACTGCGCGATGTGATGCGCAGAGAACTTGCAGTATTTATGTCACCACAGTAATTTTCGTTGTATTAAGAAGAAAAGGTTGAAATATTGTATTCTATCTTGTTAAAATAATTCGGATAGACGTTTTGTTGCTATGGATGGCATCGCATTTCGTTTGTAAGTAATTTTATACTTAATTTATTAAAATAGTTCTGGAAAAAACTCTTAAATTTTGGGTGGGTCAACTAGGTTATTTCTAACATACTAGTATTAACCCTTCTAGTTGGAACTCCTTCTATAAAATATTGAGCATATTTGTTGAGTAGTCTCACTAAAGCTTCCCTATCTTCACCTTCGAGATCAGTGTCAATTGAATCGGAAGTTATTTTGTTCGGTTGCAACTCACAAGAATTTGACTGTTTCTTAGAAAAGAATTTAAGCTGATCTTGATCAGTTTGGACGCCAATGTCATTTTCATATCCTACACTAAAAATGGTAAAATAAACCCTTTTTAAAAAAAAAGTTGAACCGACTTCAAAAAACACCGACAAAGAGCACTAAAAATTAAAAAATAATTACAAATCTGAGTAAAAAAACTATAATAAGTACCCTCAATGTCACAGGTAACATTATAATACCAATAGTCCCTTCTAGTCTGTTTGAAGTCGGTGCCAAGCTCGATGCACAATAAGTAATACTGGTCTATGTCAGCTTTATATTAGCACAATGAAAAATTAAGAATTCAAAATAATTCTAATGAAACATCGAAGATTTTGTTAATTAATAAAGACCAACCAGATCAATTACGTGCGCAAACTTATCAACTACTTATTAAAGAATTCAAAATAATAATATAATTGGAGATGTGCGTCCACTTTAGCTCGTTCATCATGTTTTGCGCAGCATGAAGACTGTTGCAGCTGCCGCGCTACATTCTACCATGCCTATCAAGCACCTATTTGGCTTGGCACCGACTTCAAACAGACTAGAAGGGACTATTGGTATTATAATGTTACCTGTGACATTGAGGGTACTTATTATAGTTTTTTTACTCAGATTTGTAATTATTTTTTAATTTTTAGTGCTCTTTGTCGGTGTTTTTTGAAGTCGGTTCAACTTTTTTTTTAAAAAGGGTTTTGTAATATCCCATTCTCTTTGACATCGACAATGTGTGAACTGATTAATTAATTGTATTAAAAACAGTATCCACACTATTCACGGTACTGTCTCGCTTGTTAACATAACTGTGTATGTGTATGTAACTTGTGTTAATAGTTATAAGGAAGAGCTATTTGAAACGGAAAATTATACAGAATAGTTCCATGAACTTCCAGTTACGTTGGTCTGATACATATATATGCATGTTTTATAGATCTTATTTTAATTAATTATGTTTTAATAAAAGCTTACGTAGGTATAATAGCTATTCATCTCTAAATTTAATGTGTTTACCTTAATAAATATACCTGCAAAAAATCTTCTCATGATATTTCATATGATGAAATGTCAATATTTACTTACGATAAATTTGAATTTGCACGTTGACTCTCAACGGTGGCACCAGTACCGTATTATCAGCGGTACATGTATACACAGCCTCAAAGTAATCCCTTGTCAGCTTCGGTATCCTTAGTTCTAAAAGGCTGAGTCGAGATCCATCATCGACTGGTGCAAGGGTTGCTATTACTTTGTCGTCACGCCACCAGCGAAGACGTGGCATGGGTTTTCCTAAAACAAACATATTTATATTAGATTTTTAATGACTATTATTGGTCTTAAATGATAATATTGTTTAAATACAGTCATCATATTTCTTAATCGTTTAAGAGATTGAAATATTGCACTTCTACTGCTAATGAATGGCATGGAAAATATACCGAAGGTAATAAATACTCAAAGGTTTAATGGTATTATGAAAACTCAATATGGTTAAATGGGGGAACACAACATTAATCCCGATGATAGTAAACCTTACCCTACAATAATATACGGTTTCACTGTTACTGTGAATACGATATTGAGAATTAATTCGCTTACCATTTTCGAAATTTAGGGCAATTCAAAGGTATGTAGTTAATATCTACCGTCAGCACGTTAATTCCTCTAATACATACTTATAAACTTCGTCAAAAGACATCCACCGTAGTCAGAAATAATATAGACTACCTTCAAATAATAAAATATGATATTATTGTTATTATGCAAGCCAATGACATATTTGTAAATAGGATCGGAACAGACAGGTGATCGGTCTCTAAGATCATCTTAACTCACAATTCCGTGGAATACATACTAATGATCAAAATTAGATTTATATCACATGTTACCGAATATCGGCATAGTGCTATGCATACTGTAATATTTCAACTTTATTTTATTATCATTTTTCAGGATCGTATTACTTTTCTACAAATTAAAATTATTGCTACTAAATAAAACTCAGAAGTAAGAAATAACCCATGAATATTACATTGTTAAAACAGATTTAATGTAGATAATATGAGAACACATAAAACACGAATAATAATATAACTTTGGATACTACCTAACTGTTTTCTACTGTGTTTTATTTTGGGCTGTTTTTTTTTATATGTGAGCTTAGTAAGTTTAATATTTTATAAGTTTAGTGCTAATGGCTTGATCGAAAAGCATGAGACTTAAGCTCGTATATTGTGTCTATAACATCAATAGTTAGTTATTTTTTGTCGTCAGACAGCCATGCTTCGGCACAAAAGAACAGGATTTGCCGGTGTGATACTACGGCCGTACTACTACAAAACTTAGCGAAGCGATTATCACTAACCATCAAGTGATACGTCTGCTCTTTTGCCTTCTATGTTATAAAAAAAAAGTCAGCGGGAGAGTAGGAGTAAGTAGATATTTAAGGTCAGAATACATTGTGTGCGGATTGTTGTAACATCAGTATTTGTTTAATAAAGTTTAGTTCATTAATATGTCGCGTCACTATTATGGATTGCACTATGGCAACACTAGTTGGTCAATTTTTGTTCCTCTGTCTGATAATACATTACTAGTCAAACCAATCAGATATTTAAATTATACTAATATAAATACCACACGGTGTCGCATACAAACATAACACGGATTAGTTATTTAAAGGCCGGGAGCAAACGTCTGTGTGCTAACACTGCACAGGCTGTCCTGAGAATACTGCACTCCACAAACTAGTTTATAAATGTACATTGTAGAACGTGGAATCATAAAAATACGTATACTTGTTAATATTACCACATTTCTTGTATTTTCAAATTATAGCAGTAGCTTATTTATAATAGTAGCAGTATATAATATAATAGTAGCCAAAAATAGTAGATATTGATTTTTAAATTTTACTTTTTTGCTTCTGAATATTATTTAAATTCAGTGCAAAATTTTAATTTTTTGCATTAACTTCAATCATTTTGGTCTCGTTTTATGCAGACATATTTAGGAACATTTGGAGATTCCATATTCAACACGAATTTGCCTAAAACGATTAGTGTTTTATGATATACACGGAGTCAACAGTCCTAAAATATCATTACACCTTTTTGTAACACATTGACGAACCTGTTGGTCTAATGGTTAGTGAGCCTGACTGCCAAGCCGGAAGTCGTGGGTTCGATTCCTACCCAGGACAAATATTCGTGTGATGAGCACTCGATTGTTTGTTCCGTATCTGGTTGTAATTTATCTATAATATGTATGTATTTACAAATATATAAGTATTTTTATCAGCAGTCTGGTTACCATAGTACAGGCTCTGCCTAGTTTGGAATCAGACGGCCTTGTGTGAGATGTGTGAGGTTATTATTATTATGGCATATTAAACGTAAAATGCTATCACTCTTGAAAGAATATACTGGACTATTACAATTAAATTGCTTTTAAATTGCAATATTTGTACTGAAATATATGTCATGTGATATATTGTTGACGTTTTCTGTTTTAATATAGTCGAATAGTAGCGAAAGAACACGCACAGACTCTAAATATAGGTAAAAACTATCAAGGCGACCCCACTAATAAAATAGTAATAAGTATTATATTGACACTGAAATTTATATGCACACAACATGGAGATAAAAAAATAAGCTTACCTTTCCACGCCACTAACAACAAATTCATATACTTTAAGGCATAATCAAAATCAGAACTATGATGTAAGTCAAAAAAAGGTTGTTCCAAATTGTTTGTTACTTTATGGGAACTTGGTAAAAAGATATACATACTTATAATTAAAATTATTATACAAGAGCTAAACCTGTTTATAGGATGTTTAATGGTGTTAAATAAACTTACTAAGAGCTCTTTGTTTTCATTCCGACTACTCGTATAAGAAATGTGTCATAGACTCTATTATTTCTAGAACCTTGCTAATGCAATAAGTGTAAATATTTACTAACTAATAGTTTTAAATAATAATAAATAATATTAGACATCAGTATATAAAAGTAGTAGCTTAGCAAGTACATTTGATTTAATACTAATGAAGTAGAAAATACCCATGAAAAAACCTCTGTAAATTCCAATGAAGTGTTAAAAAGGGCAAGTTGATACTGCTGATTAGCAGACCTTCATTTGTCTGATCTCATCTCGATTTGTAATCGAATTTGTACCAATTACGTAATGAGACCTAATTTATACGTTCAAGATTTTATTACTCTACTTTTCAATTGGCTTAGTTCTGTAATAGATTTAATTTGGTTCGATATAGTATGAACTTCCGTTTTTTCTGTAACAACAACAGGCCGGCAACGCGTTTGTGACTCCTGAGTTGCAGACGTTCATGGGCGGCGATGGTCACTTTCTATTAGGTGACCCGTCTACTCGTCTGCCCTCTAACATAAAAAAGCACGACTTTCCAGACACCAGCCTGTAAGGTTTTAATCATTAGTGTGTCGATTTCTTTGTGAACGACACCTTTGATTTTTGAAGTCCAGTCTAGATCTTACGTGGGCTCCCCAACAGACTACAGATTTCCTATTTTTAATAGTTGACGCACGTTGAGAAATATACGAATGTGAAGAACCTTCAGTGAATTATGCACTGTTTATTTCGGCGATAGTAATATTTATACCCTTATTAGTAATCTTTATAATTTACATAACTTGGGCTTTGACGACCTAATGGCGTAGTGGTTGTGTAACGACTGCTATTTCAAAGGTCGCGGGTTTGGGACTAGATGGCGTTATGTGAATGTGGTACAATATTATTTATTTAATTAGTTATGGTTTTTTTATTTAAAAACGAAAGAAGATATTTCATGAATTATTATGACTCATTCTTAGGAGACAAATAGTAGCTTCACACATCTCACACAGAACCGCACCTATACTATGGTACCTTGACAGCTGATACTTAAAGATATCTAAATACATATATATTACAGATAAATTACACCTAGACATATAACAAATGGCATTTCACATTGATGTAGTAAATAAACTTATGTGCTTTTCAGTAAATCCTAAGATCCGAACTAAATCCAATTTCAATATTTTGTCAATACTCGTAGTTGTTACGTGAAACAAAATGGATTTAAGTGTATTTTTGTACTTTGCCTTTAATTTTAAGCAATCAGTCTGTTTATCCGACTACTCTTTTTTGAAATGAATTTTTGTTCTCCTTTACTCATAAAGGTTTATTGAGTTAGCTAACTCAGTGAACGTTTCACTACAAAACTTTAGATAGAAAAGGACTGTGCACAGGTCACTACTTTCATCCCAGTTTTCTTGTATCTTTCGGTCCTTTAACAATTACCGGAGGATCCTCTTTTGTAGTTACAAAGGCCTTTCATAAAGTAACATTAGTATACTAACAGAAATAAGCAATTAAAATAGACTTAGTGAAAAAACCTTCAATTCAATTTGAAGTAAGTATATACTATTAGTAACACTACTTGACTTTACATTACTTTGAAATACCTCTCAAAAAATCTTATTGAGAAAGGCCAGGTTCTATCTTATCTTTGACAGTTTGTTAGTTAAAAAATACTCATCATCAATCATCATCAACAGCCTTTAATAATCCACTGCTGGACATAGGCCTCTCCTTAGAAAAGAGGTTTTAGCATATTATGCCACGCTGGCCAGACGGGTTGGTATAGGGTTTGAGTTTGGCCATCGAGGGCCTATTCCCGCAGCGGGCGGAGCACACACCCCCGTCGATGGCTGCATCAGCCGGAGACGACGGGGGCAGCGAGGCTGATGTTCCGCCCGTCAGGGAATCGGAGTTGGGGGCGGCTGTTCTACGGATTAGATCCAAGAACACTGCCCCCGGGCCGGACGGGGTTCCAGCCCGAGTGATGGCCCGAGCCCTCGACTTCATGTCGGACCACCTCAGGGGGGTGTTGGACGCTAGCCTGGCGTCCGGACGCTTCCCTGAGCGCTGGAAATGCGGGAAGCTGGTCCTGCTGCAGAAGCCGGGACGGCCTGCCGAATCGGTCGCGGCCTATAGGCCTATCGTGTTGCTGGACGAGGCGGGTAAACTTTTTGAGAGGGTGCTTTCTGCCCGCATCGTCCGGCACCTTTGCGAGGTTGGCCCCGATCTGTCGGACGCCCAATTCGGTTTCCGAGCGGGGCGTTCGACGATCGATGCCGTAATGCGCCTTAGGGCCGTGACCGAGGAGGCCGTGAGCTGCGGCGGAGTGGTGTTGGCGGTGTCCTTGGACATCGCCAACGCCTTCAATAGTCTGCCATTCAGCTGCATCAGGGAAGCGCTCCGCTACCACGGAGTGCCGGAGTACCTGAGGCGGCTGGTGGCAGACTACCTTGAGGAGCGAACCGTCATGTACGAGGACCGAGATGGCGTCTTGAGACGCAGGGCCATGTCGTGCGGTGTTCCGCAGGGGTCTGTCCTAGGACCACTCCTGTGGAACATTGGATACGACTGGGCCCTACGAGGGCGTCTCCCCCCCGGGCTGGGTGTAATCTGCTACGCAGATGACACTTTAGTCACGGCCCGGGGGGCTAACTTCCAGGAGGCGGCGCGCCTGGCCGCCACGGGAGTTTCCCAGGTGGTCGGGCGCATTGAGGCGTTGGGATTACGGGTGGCCCTGGATAAGACGGAGGCCCTATTATTTCATGGGCCCCGTCGTGGTCCACCCGCCGGCGCCTCAATCGAGGTCGGCTCGGTCCTCGTACCGGTCCGGGCCCAGATGAGGTACCTGGGTCTGGTCCTAGACGGTAGGTGGCTCTTCGACGAGCACTTCCGACAGCTTGGTCCGAAGCTGGTGGACACTGCCTCCGCCCTAGGGCGACTTTTGCCCAATTTGGGCGGGGCCAGTGTTCCCACGAGGCAGCTGTACGCGGGGGTTGTCCGGTCCATGGCGCTTTATGGTGCACCGGTGTGGGTGGCGGCTCTGACCGCCCCGAATAGGGCGCGCCTCTGGCGCCCCCAGAGGATATTGGCGGTCAGAGCCATACGCGGATACCGCACGGTGTCCACCGAGGCGGCTTGCGCCTTGGCCGGAACACCCCCGTGGGATTTGGAGGCGGAAGTGCTCGCCGAAGTTTATCGGCGAGTGGCTGACTTCCGGGCGGAGAGCGGATTTCGCCCTCCGCCCGAAGACGTGCGCGAGTGGCGCGAAGCCGCTCGCCGAGCCACCATGGTTAGATGGTCGTTCCGGCTGGAGACTCCACGCGCTGGCTTCGCCGCCGTGGAGGCTCTCCAGCCGGTCATAACCGAGTGGGCAGGGCGGCAGCACGGGGCCCTTTCCTTCCGGCTGACGCAGGTGCTTTCCGGGCACGGTTGCTTCGGAAAGTACCTGCACTCGGTCGCTAGGAGGGAACTGAGTCCCGCCTGCCACCACTGCGACTGCAGTGAGGACTCGGCCCAGCACACGCTGGCGGTTTGCCCCGCATGGGCGACACAGCGCCGGGCCCTCACTGCAGTCATCGGAGCAGATCTCTCGCTACCGGCCGTAATTCGCTCCATGGCCGGTAGCGACAGTTGTTTTACCGCGGTCGCAACCTTCTGCGAGGAGGTAATCTCGCAGAAGGAGGCGGCGGAGAAGGCCCGGGAGGACGACCTCCACTCGGACCTGATCCGCCGCCGGCGAACCGGGCGGCGGAGGCGCGCTTACCTGCGCCTCATGCCGCCCTGAGTGTGGCCGCGGGTGGACGGGGTGGGTTTCCCCTCCACCCGCATCAGTTGGCCAGCCGCGAGGGGGCGGCGTCCGCGTGTGCCGGACGTCGCCTAAAGAGAGGATAATTGAAGACGGAGCCCGCACCAGGAGCGGGCCGGCGCTGGGAGGGGTCCAGAAGGCGATAACTACCTGGACCCCTCCTAAACTGGAAGCGCAAAGAGGGCACACCGTGTGGTTTTAGTCGGTTCGAGTCCGACACACCACCCCGCCGCAAACCCCGGTGGGGTGACGGTCCGAGGGGATTTCCACACGTTAAAAAAAAAAAAAAAAAAAAAAAAGGGTTTGAGTTTGGCCAGCCGCGAGGGGGCGGCGCCCGCGTGTGCCGGACGTCGCCTAAATAAATAGAGAGTTTACCGAAGGTGGTACCCGCGCCGTTGCGGGCAGGCGCTAGGAGGGGTCCGGATGTCTTAATAACAGCTGTTCCCGGATCCCTCCTATTACAGGCGCAGACTGGCACACCGTGTGGTTTTAGTCGGTCCGAGTCCGACACACCACCCCGCCGCAAACCCCGGTGGGGTGACGGTCCGAGGGGATTACCATACGTAAAAAAAATAAAAATTGTTTGAGTCAAGTTTTCCTTCTCGTTGCAGTGCTGTTGTCCTGTAGAGTTTGCTCTCTCAGTCGAATACGATACCCACGGGATGAATAGGGGTGGTGACACTCCGTATTCTTAAACCGTCTTAATTTTGTAATATTATGTAAACTAAAACCGTATTAAAGCTATGGATACAAAGCATATCCTATGAAATTTACCTCCACTTACAACACAGGTGAGTTTCACACTACTGTCTTCAACGTATGGGCCTGCGACGCCGATCACTTCTTTGTCAAATTCATCGAAAATCTTCGGTTTCTCCGGCAGTTCTGAAAGCAATTTAATTGGTTCAAAATTCACGATAAAAGGAGTTTAAATAGTAGCTTTAAATATTACACTTAAACTATATATTATTTAGCCAAATAAAAAAATAAATAAAAAAATATTATTTTTTGTAATATTTTTTCAATTTTTAATTTTTTAATTTTTTAATTTACACTTTATGTAAAAATGTGGCAAAGGCGGACTTAATGCCGTAGGCATTTTCTCCCAGTCAACCTTAGGGCGATGCAGAGCTAAAACATGGTAGATGCACAAAAAATTAAAAATGTGATTTTATGAAAAATATGGCATATATAGGATATCATATACCCATAGTACTGATATTAATTATATTAGAATAATACATTTACAATAAGTAATAATGATACCAACACAAAATACATAAGTATACACATATACACTTATTACTTATTGTAGCTTATAACAATATAATTTTATGAGGTTATATTTTTATATCAGTCTGTACCTTGTTTTAATTCTGGGTCGGTGTAAATGAGGCGTGAGTGACATTGGACTAACAACCGTCATTATCATATGAAACCGATTTTTAGCTCAGTATAATAAATTGCAGCATTATATGCTCATAATAGCTGCCCCTGCCACGCTTTGCTGTCGTACATTGATGTTACATCGATGAAAAATAAGGAACAAAACTGACGTGAAAAATATATTAAAATAATCGTTGAAGCGTAATGTCAAAACTTGAGCTCACAAAGAGCAGAACTTTGTAAGTTTTTGAAGGGGACACAAACCAACTTAATATTTATATATAACATAAATTTTACTTTGGAAAAAAGAAGTAAAAAATTTGTCGCTTGAAATATTATACAGTATTATATTTGACAGTTATATTTTAGTATAGCAAACGGTGTCAGGTTCTTCAAAATTAAAGTTAAACCCTATCATGCGCTACCTTCTATTAAGACTATCTAGGTTTAGGTTTAAATAATTTGCTATCAAAAAGACAAAAAATCTGTTTAATGTTTTCCGTAATTAACGTCTTACCTAAATGTAGATTTTTTAATCCACTTGAACTCAGTACAACTATTGATGTAAAATTTATTTACATGTAAGTTGTAACGTCTACGTGGATTCGTCACACTTACTTGACGAACACGTATTTTAATTAGCTGATGATTTTGTCCCGGTCTAATTGCTGAACATATATATTACAACCAGATATTAAAATGTATTACAAATCATGTTAATTTCTTGACCTATCGCGTATTGGAAGCACTCTATACGAGTGTGTACCATGATACGCGCACACTAATGTCATTATCTGTGGGGTTCTGTCATGACGACCCTTGACACAGCACTTGTATACACTAAAGCGGAAGAAGAGGTCGTCAAAGGTTATTTCATTCATTCATTACAAACATTAATTTTTAAATTGACAGATTTGATTGAGTTTAAAAACAGTTAATTGCAGATTTATAGCGTTTCTTACATTGCTGAGGAGAAGGCGAGCTTACATTCAAGTTACAAGAAGTCAATCAATTGTGCTGTACAACACGTAGTGTTAAATTTGGTGAGGTAAGTTATACAAATATCGGTAGAGATATAAACAAATAACAACAGATCGGGTGATGATTCTTGAAGGATGTTTTTTTACTAGTCGCTTAGATTTTAGCAATAATGTAGCTTGCAGTGAGAGATGTTTGCTTAAAACGGATTCGGAATAAGTCGGATTGAAGGGATCTAAGGATTGCGGCAGTTTGATGTGAAAGTTTTTGAACAACCTGTAAATGATACAAAATTCACTGGATCTTCTAGTAACAAAGATATATATCAAGACATCTTGCATAAAAATGTTTTTTTTTAATAAATGATTTTGATTTTTGATTTTAGGAGTTGCTCGTGGCTACGTGGTTACCGAACATGGGCAATTTTAAAAATAATATAAAATCTTTTTCAAATCAATATTCTGTATCAAAAGGCTTAGTTAAAAAAAGAAAATAAGGATCTTGTGATGTAATGAGTCACGCACACCCTGAACGTACCTCCAATAAATAATTGATGTACCCTCGAACGAATATTGCTACAAAACCCAGAAAAGACACAAAATACATTTAAATTGGGCACAAAGCTTTATTTTTGTCGTTTGTGATTTTTTAGATGAGAATTTCATTTGATCTCTCTGTTATAATATTTCTATCAAATCAAATTATATTGCAATACACACAGCTAAAAATAACTTACGCAATATTTTGTTGAATTTCAGTTTAGTTTGGATTAAAATTTATTTAAACGTTACTTTAAAAAAAGTTTATAAGTGGCTATGACATTTTTAAGCATTTAATTTTTTTTTTTTTTTTTTTATTTATTTTATCTCCACAAATTACACAAATCTTAATATTTAAGCTGACAATTATTTAGCTTAATTGGTAATTTGTGGGAGATCTGGAGTCCAAACTAAGCCTAGGCCTGTATTTTAGAGCCCCAGGCCCCCCAAAATGAATTCACAGTAATATTATCAATGCTGTTTTTGAGCGTGGATATTTATGTATGCATGCGTGTGTGTGCGCGCGTGTGTGTGTGTGCGTGTGCGTGTGTGAGTGTATGTGTGTGTGTTACATATATATATGTGTATACAATTATTAAGTTTAAGACTGACTACGCCACTATCTCTAGCAACTTTTCTGTTTCTAAATAGTTAAGATTGAGAAGTAGCTTTTGTATTTTGGTTTTGCATTCTATCTTTGTACAGTTTACTATGGGTATTAATTTATTTATTTTATTGAACAACTTAGATCCACGGAACATATAAAATCTTTGTGCGAAGGTAGTATAAGTTCGTATCGGCTCACATATTGCATAATTTCTGCGTGATTGGGCTACACGGTTTGTTCTATCTGGAGACAAATTCGAATGTTTGTGAAGGACGGTTAGCAGTATATATAGTTGTCGTACAGTCAATATATTAGTTTCTTCGTAAAGTTTAGTAGTAGGGAATAAACGAGGTTTAAATGTACTCACCTTTAATATCATCCTCTGAGCTCTTTCTATGATTAACATATTGGATTTAGAAGCACCTCCCCAAGCAGTAATACAAAAGCTCAAAATGGATTGCACCATGGCGTTGTAAACCATCCTTATGGTTTGTCTCTCTGCTACATCCCGCAGCTCTTTAAAGATGTAAACTAGTTTGCGTATCCTTTGTGATAAAGTACGAATGTGGGTTGCAAAGGTTAAGTTAGCGTCTATTTCGATTCCAAGGTATTTTAGGCATTGAGTGCGTTCAATGATGGGACAGTTGCAAGTAGCTATTGGTGGGAAGTTACATTTATGTGCAAAAATATTGTGGTTGTGGGTTGTTATATCGATTGTGTTTTGTATTGAGAAGTTAATGTATTTAGTTTTACTTTCATTAAGAGTAAGTGAGTTTGATAATAGCCAGTGACACACAGTGTTAAATCCAATTTGAGCAATTTCAAAAAGTTCACTCCAAGAATCAGCGAAAAACGTAAGAGCAGTATCATCTGCATATGTTGATATACGGCAATTTTTAATTTTTAAATTACTGAGCTCGTTGATGTAGCAGAGAAAGAGAGTTGGACCCATAATGCTGCCCTGCGGCACCCCAAAATCATTTGGCAGTACCCGTTCCGCAGATTGGTTGTGCGGTGCAAAAAGTGTCTCGAAAAGCGCACAGTAGTGGAGCGCCAAATATCCAGGTAATGAGGACGAAAATTTTGCCGTGTGTGTGTATATATCAAGAAACTAAATAGATTCTAATGTGTTTTTTAGTTGTGTGTTTCTACCAAAAAAAAACCGTATCTAAAGGAAGGCCCCGAAGCTAAAAACAGTTTTCTAATAATATGTAGTTCATGTTTATCTTCGAAGTTCAGCAGTCATTTTAGTAATTAGGCAACCTGATTATTATACGGCAGTCTAGTGTTATATGGCATTAAATCCCTCCTTATTTCACTTGATCAGTGAAATATATTTTATTTGTAAATTCTTGTCTATCGTTTGTCATTATTCTACTTTCTCATGGGTGGTGTCAATGTCACGGAAAAACAGTAAAGCAATAAGCAGAGTTTTGAATCACTTGCACAGTGAATAAATCTCTTAAGATGCAACGCAAAAGAAAATACAATGCCTGTTTTCGGTTTATATTGAACCAAAGCAGGATTGACCCAGTGTTTAAGATGACTCTTTTCTTAACGAAGGTCCCGTTCATCCTGTCCGTCCGTCTAGGGTTCAATACCTCTGGATAGATAAAAAAAGGACATGGTTTAGTACCGACTGTCATTAAGAGCAAAGGTTCACCCTGAAAGCTGACGACGACATTGGCAAATCACAAGGACCGATTTCATTGAAAAACAACTAGCAATTCTCGTATCGGGTACAATTTCTTGACAGTACTTATCTAGATGTGGCAACTGGACTACTGTGTGTCTTTGCACAACGGCAAACGTACAAAAATTCGTTGTCATATACGAGTATTATATGACATAGAAGAAGGAGTTTTATGTATAGAAATTTACTCGTATGACCTGTTGCATAACATAAGTAATACAACTTAAAGAGTTATAGACTCATAAAACTGAATTTGGCTCGATGCCAGAATACTGTCCTTAGACTGATGAACTTTCTTTTGACTTTACGATGTTTAAAGTATATCTTATCAATATCGTCACTAAGTACAATGACCTTCTTCCTACACATTTTTAATGATCATAGTTTTATTTCTCTACAGGCCTATGAACTAGCTGGTAGGGGAGAGAGGGTTAAAAAAGTACTAGTAACCATTATTTAACCGGGCCTGTGATAAGCTAGATGTTATGATGACCAGTATCATACGATATAAGCTTTACTATAATAAAGTATATGCTAAATTGTTCGATTGGAGATCTTTTCGTACAGTTTTGATTTTGGGTATTATAAGAGAGTAACCAATATTAAAAGCGCTGCAAAATGGCGGAGTATTAGTGGCGCTTTTTGTGTTGCTAGTGTAAAAAAATACTACCATTTTAGTGGA